GAAGACCAGTATATAAAGTATTGTTTTGATGGTTAAGAAACTGGTGTTATTAAACTCAGATGTCAATAACATGTATACAGATCTGTCAGTTCCATAAAGACTTCAACTGCTTGATTTGTTTAATATTAAATTAGATAATTCTTTATTTATTTATTTATTTTTGGCGAAATTGTTTTGTCAGATTTTATGTTTGGGTAATTAAATGTCTCAAAATGACATTACGTAAGGCCATTTTGTGCTTTCATCTAGCGACCGAAAATACAACTATTATGAAATATGGAAATAATAATATATTTAAACTGAACTCACAGCTAAGTAGTAGTTTTCCATTATATTATTTCCCCACAAAAATTACGTGTGGTAGAAAATCAGAATAATACTACTGTTATGTATTTGTTAAGCTAATATATCCTCTTTAACAAAAAATATTTTTAATTACTACTTGCAAAAGATTTCGTACAGAAAACTTAATTATATGTCCTTATAATACTAGGAAAACAAACTTTTCAGAGATTGTGAATTTACTTGTGTTGTTTGTTTTTATTTGAAAATTGAAGTGAAATTACTTCTGAATACAAAACATGTTAAAAAAGAAACTAATATCATTTTCGTGTAAATCACCTAGCAAAGCTAGAAACGAACAAAACAACATCCTATCACTTAGTTCTATTATCAATGTTTCTGTATTGTTGGAGACAGATGAAAGAGGTCAACATAGTTGTCGTGTTCTAGAAAAGTTGCAAAGAAAAGTGAAACTATTTTCTTTGCTATATAAAAGATATAATTTAACAGTGTTACTGTGATGTTGTTAGTAAAGTGTATTAACTGGCTAACATCAGATGTACTCAGAGTGAATAGCGCTACCCACGTGAATGAAGCATGAAAGGGATCATACTCACAAGATCACGTAACTAACGAAAGAAAATATAAATCTCTAGCTTTATATACTACAGGAGACCTTGTAGCTATCTTTCCTACAATAAGATAAAAAGAGGTTCATTAGGTAAATAACACAGAACAATGGGTAGCAAGAGCAAAAGGAACTTAACAACCTTCTTGACGAACATGGTATATTTAAACTGCACATACTTTAAAATTACTATGTTAATACAAGGAGGTAAAAACAACCAGTATGCTTATATATCACAATATAATATATATATATATATATATATATATATATATGCATACATTTGTAACTGTTTAATCATTATATATAAATTCTATGAAACATACATTCACAAGCATTATGTGTTCACTACATAATTAGTACTATAAATTTTCGCATATCACACTGGCTGTATAATGTTAATTTCATTTTAGTTCCCGTAAAGGCAGAGACATGAAACTATGCAGTAACATCTCGAAATGTCAATGACTTCGACCTCACATTACAAATGAGCAAGTGATGAAGTTGTTCATTGGCGGTGTTCTTTGATGTACTGGTCATAGTATAACACTTTGATAAAACTGCCTATTGTAATATCATGATGGAATAATATTCTCCATTCTGATTAAATATCTTGCTTTTTACATATGTAAATACTTCGAAAGTTCATCGAAAGGTAAGTTATATGTCTTTTTATAATATGCGTTCTTAATTTGTAATTAAAAATCGATCTAAAAATTGCACATTCGATTAACTGTTATTTCAAAGAATTGTAATTTCGAAAAAATGTTTTTCGAAGAATTTTCCGTAAACCCAAATTAGAATAAAATTCCAATATGTTTCATATAAGATCTTTTGGTGACAACCTCCATCACAAAACAAAGCATTAGTTGTATTTTTATAATAAGTAAGATTTTCGATGAACACTGCTAACTTTACACTTTCGAGATCTTCATATGCTACCGCCCCCCAGCGGTATGTCTGCGGACTTACAACGCTAGAATCCGGGTTTCGATACCCGTGGTGGGCAGAGCACAGATAGCCCTTTGTGTAGCTTTGTGTTTAACTACAAATAAACAATTATATACTACTTTTCACCATTCTCCTTCTCTGCGCACGTCGCAATGCACTGTTCGCAATCAAAACGTTGCATTTTTGTCTTAAGTATTGTTACGTCTCCGTTTGTTAATTGATTTTCCGTAACTTCGTTCCGACGAAACTTTAGCGACACAAGTCCTTACTTAATAAAACTGGTTTATTCTTTCCGAATACAACTTTACAATACACTTATTTTCAACTATAATAACGACGTTAACTTCAACAATACGTCTCTCTCTGACTGCAGATCAATTACTTACTGTCTACA